TAACGATTTTTATGGGGTTTTCTTATTTGCTTATTTTAAGATCATGTCACTGCATCCTCGATACATCTCTTTTCTTTGGCAAGTTGCAGACTTGGGAAGTAGCCTAAATATGCCACCTCTTAGAGACGGAGCACGTGTTCTTATGAAGCTCATGCCACCAGGTAAAACTTTGTTTTATCCTGTTTCATACTGAAGTTAGGGGAGTATTTTCCACCTTGTAATTTATTGATACTGTAATTCATGAGTGTTATCCTAATTAGGATTGTATGTGTTTCCCAAATAGTTATTTCTTCTCTGTTATATAAAGTTGCATAGTTTGCAGTTGGTACGGGGGTTCACTGCTGCAGTGCAGTGAAAACAGGGAGAAGAGTTGTGTTTTGAAGCAGTTCTGTAGCACTACTTTAATAGGCTCACTTTTGTCCTGACAGAAATAATCATTGCAGAATACTTCATAGTCTGATCTTGTTACATTTTTTTGCAATTTTTCTGATAAACTTAAAATTTTTCAGATTTATAATTGTAAATACTGCCAGCTTGTTCTGGAGTAGTTGTGTTACAAAATGTTTATAAATTGTGTTTTTATTGCAGATAACACTACGGTTGAGAAACTAAGAGCTATTTGTTTAGACCATGCAAAACTTGGAGAAAGCAGCCTTAGTCCGTCCCTTGATTCTCTATTCTTTGGTCCTTCTGCCTCACAAGTGCTGTATCTAACAGAGGTTTGTGATGCTTTGCCTGTTCCTTAAAATCATTAACTCTCTTTGGCGGTCCTTTCTGTAACATTGTAGAAGCCTAAGATCAAATTCTCGTTTGAAATTAACAATTGAAAATACTGAACAATTTACTGGAATAAACGGATGTGTGGCCAGTGCTGTCAAAGCATTGCTTAGGTAGTATTCCAACATAGTCTCATGTTCAATCATCTACATTCAAGCTAGTGCATTTCTGTTAGTTAACTCTGTATTTTGTTCTACAGGTAGTTTATGCCTTGTTAATGCCTGCCAGTGCACCCCTGGGAGAAGATGCCAGTGACTTCCAATACAACTTCTTAAAAAGTGGTGGTTTGCCTCTTGTATTGAGCATGCTGACTAGAAATAACTTCCTGCCAAATGCAGATATGGAAACTCGAAGGGGTGCCTACCTTAATGCTCTAAAAATAGCCAAATTATTGCTAACAGCAATTGGATATGGCCATGTTCGAGCTGTGGCAGAAGCTTGTCAGCCAGTTGTGGAAGGCACAAGTACAATTTCACCGGTAATACAAATCTTCCTTGATGCAAATAGCAATGTACTCTGGTTTTTATACTGTCTGCAGCAACATCTGTCCTCTCTCCACTGACAATCTCTTTGAGTGAGTTGCATGTCAAGAACTCAAAGTACTTTCAGATAATGTGGTCTGACGATTCAAAAAAAAAAAAAAAAACCTAACAAATCCTGTTTGTTTCTGACTGTAGAAAAGTTAGGTGTGAGATCTACGTGCTCTGTATATGTTTTTCAGTGGTTTGCATGATTGTCAGTACAGGTAACTTCTCAAGTACATCTATTCCATAAATGTGAATTCTGAGTCTTTTGACCTGTTGAGTCTGTTGAAGGATGTGCCTCTGAATTTCTTGTATCTCCTATTTATGATTAGAGCATAAACCAACAGAACTGACGTTGAGTCATGCCAGGCCTTTTTCTACACAAAAATAAGTCCTTGGCTTGCTAGCTTCCTAATTCTGTTCATAGCTCGTAGAAAATTCTTACAGAGGACAACTAGGTACATTGCAAGGTTAAGTGTTGATAGTTGAAAGGTGTCCTACCCTAAGATTTCTCAGAGTTGGAAAGGGAAAGTGTAACACAGGTGCTCTGAACTCTGATCTCATGTGTCTATAGTAGTAAATTTTGTGCATGTTTAACATGGCTAGTTAGTTTTTCTACATCTGGAAAAATATGTTGTGGGTCAAGATTTTATTTCTGCCCTCTTACAGAGCCCAAAAATTAAAATTTGCTGCTGTCCTCCTTGGGCATTTCCTTCTGGCTATTCCAGCTTTTTTTTTTTTTTTTTGTGGGGTTATGTGTGTGAAGTTCCATCACAAATAATTGCTTGAGCTATCAACCTGTACTCAAGAATACATAGAGGGCCCCACTTCAGAGCACTTTGTTCCAGGATATTTACTAAGATCCATCTCTGAAGCAGAGAAGTACATTCCCCTTAAGTCTGAAAAATAAATATCTCTTCTGGTTAGCTCCATCTGTTGGAAGATACCAGATTCATTCTTTTTCAAGGAAATCAAAACTCAAAGAGGTGAAGATCCATTTTCATGTCTCATGTTAGAATATAATAGAAACATCTTAAAGCAAACATGTTTGCCACCCTATCCTTCATCTGTTTAAAATGAGTAAATTTTACTGCCCTATTTTCTAGTGACAATTATTCAAAAGATAGTTTGGAACACAGATAACATCAGTTGAGTCTTGAAGGTACTGTTTGAGGTGAGAGTCTTGAAGTACTGTTTGAAACAGATTTATGCTGACCACTTAGCAGGGAGTAACATTTGTCCATGACTACTGACACTCACTGTTAAGTGTTGCAAACATCTAACTGTTATTAACTGACTTGTTGGAAAAAACATGGTTATTCTTGCTGTCATCATCATCCTGTTTGAAGGACTTTGGTCTTGATACTTTTTATTGCTGCAGCACCGATAAGCTTACCCCTTGGGATGGAGGTGGAATTTGTAAATACCTTTAATCCATCATATCTAAAGCATAAGTAGCATAGCATAATTTTCTGTCTTGGCTTTCCATCAATGCTTAAGAGAATGAGGTAACCAAGACTATGTGTCTGCAGTCTTCCAGTTACCAGTCTGCTGCTGTCACTAGGACCTTTTAAATTTTTCTTCCTTGCTTTTATAGAAAGTTGAATCAGTGATGTTGTTAAACATAGTATTCTGGTACACAGATCCTGATTTGCCTCCATATATATTATTTGGTCCTTTTTCAGCCCACTTCTGATAGCTAATTGACTGTGTAAACTCTATTACAGTCTTCACTGGGAGTTCTGTAATTTTGCTCCCTGAATCAAGTGTCTTAGTGAAGCTGACAAAGCAAAGGGATATGACCAGTGTCAGGTGTTACAGACCAACTTCACAGTCTGTCTTTTGAGCAGCATTTGAGACAGGTTTTTTGGATGAAATGGTACTAGGAAATGAAGAAACTCTTTTGTACAAGAAGCTTTAACTTCTAACCACATCACACAGTCTTTTCAAGCAAGTTTGTCTATGAGAAGGAAACAACCAATTCAGATTTGAACTGTCAAAACTATGGAGCTCTGTCAGCCCAAGGAGAAGGAACTCCATGCTCAAACCAGTACAGAAAAGATGAAAAACTTATTTTGCTGCTATTTCTGTATAGCAGAAAGTATGATAAAGAACACGAGGGATAATCTGGAACAGAATTGCTCTATCTCAGATGTTTAAAATGTACTTAACTATAATGAACACTGCAGCTGTGTTCTGTCTGGACAATATTAGCTAATCCAGAGGGAGAGACATTGTTTTAGCAAACCCTTTCTTTCCTACATCAATAGAAAAGGAAGGAGGCATTGTAATGCTAAACGTTCTGTTAACTTGAAACAGTCTGATCAATAAACAAACCCCCAAACATAACTAGTTTTGAGCAAGTGCCTGTCCTCTTAACTACTTGTACTCTATGATTGTGCACTGTAGCATACAGTGTCTTCAGATGTGATGGTATCTGTCTGAAAATGAGAGGGTTTATTTTTCCTGGTGTTTGCAGTTTCTGTAAGTAGTTTTCCTTCCAAGATCTTACCTACTTCTACCAAACCTTTCCAAGTAACTTCGTATTTTCATACCTTCTTGCTTTTTTTTTTTCACATGTAAAAATAAGAAATACTTTCTTCCAGATAAACCAGGCTACGCATGACCAGGCAGTGGTGCTACAAAACGCTCTACAAAACATTCCTAATCCGACTTCAGAATGCATGCTAAGAAATGTAGCAATACGCCTTGCACAGCAAATATCTGATGAGGTTAGTGAATTCCTTTCTGTATCACCTTTATTTCGTGTAGTATCTTTTTTTTTTTTCCCCTTAAATTCATTGCTTTGTAAGACATGGATTTTCCTTCTAAAATGTCATGAAATGTTTTAGGTAATGTTCATGTGGTTCGTATGCTGTTAACTAATTAGAAATGTTTAATTAATTATGCAATTATGAAATTCAGTGGTTAATAGCATAAAGAGGCTTGAGTGAACTAGGCAGGTTCTGTACAAGCTCTTCAATGGATTGTGAGTATTTTTACACTTATGCCAGAACTTCAGAAACTTGATACAATAGATTTAAAGAAGTTAATGGGTATTTTGAAAACATTTTTGTGATACTTTCTTCTTTTTTTGGTCTTTTATGTTTTGGTTTCTGAGTAACATTCTGTTCTTGAAGAGAAACACAGAAAAGGGGAGTGAGTTTTTAAATACTGAGCATGATTTTAAAATGCTGAAAGATAAAAGCCTCAGATCATTGCCAGTGTATCTTTATATATTGAATATGTATTAATGATACAAGTGAAAAATTGGGTTGTGGAGCTTGGTAGGGTTAAGCAAGGTGCTTTGCAAATATAATAGTCTTATCTGTATGGTATGACCAAAGCCTATTTGGATTTGGAATTGTAAGTCATGTTTGTGAATAGTGAATTCTGCTGAATTCAGCAGAAGCTAAAATTGGAACTAGTACAACTTCCTCTTCCACAGTGAATAGGGATCCCTCAGTTTCTAGTATGGAAGCAGTGAATATTGCTTTTCTGTGCTGTATAGAATCTCTGCAAAGCTATCACCAAAACAGTTCTGAGCTACCTAAATAAAAGTAGTCTTGTATTATCATCTTAATGTTGCAAAGTACACTACTTCTTCTGAACAAGAGCAGTGTCTAAAGAAAGCATGATGTACTAGACTGCAAGACCAAACCATCTGCCTTTCATTAGTTGGTGGTATTGCATCTGTAGGTGATTGTATGTGTAAAATCAGCCAGTTGAACTCTGATTTAATTAACTTCCTTTAAAAAAAATTTCATACGTCAAGATTTTAAAACTACAATGAGATTAAAAAAGAAAATGTTCTTTTGCTGTGTGACAATTTTTTCTTGTGATGCTGTTACTGCAAGGTTGCTTTCCCTGTAGGAAAGGTGAAACACTTTTTTTTTTTTTTTTTTCAACTACTGTTAATGTCCATATCAGTAGCAAGAATGCACAATGTTCAGGTTTCCTGATGCTGCTAGCTTATTAGTTAAGCTTCTTAGAGTCTACTTTTTTTTTCTTAATTCTGAGCATTAGAAAAATGAAACTTGAAATTTTTGAGAACTGCCTACCATCTGCTTTTAAAGATTGCCCATTTTTTGGACAGTTCTGAATATAGACTCCAGGTAGCTTAGGGGTTTTTTTGAAAGTTGATGCAAACTAGAAATAATGGCAGTTGTAGTATGTTTTGTAATGTTTGTCTGTCAGTAGAAAGTATTGGATCTTAACTCCGACCATGCTGAAAGTACTGAAGAGTGAGTCTGCATTCATAAGATACATGATCTGTGTTCTTACTAATTTTAAACCTGGTATAACTTGAATATAGAACAATCCCTTTATATATTAATCACGTACTTGACAAGTGTTAGTTCATCTAGCTATCAGCTAGCACAATAAATATCATGGGGGGGGGACAAGCCCTAAAGTAACTTGAACTTGTTACATTACTTAAGAGGCTAGCTGCCTTCCAGATGCATGCTTGGTGGTTTGTTGGGTTTTTTTCCCAAAACCAAAAATCTTCTAGCATTGAAGCTGGTAGTTTCTGCGAAATCTTACTCAGAATTGAAGAGTTGCTGGTTATTTATCAAAGATGTTCACTTTCTTGTAATTCCTGGTACTTGTAGCATTACAATGTAAGATTCTGTAATACATCTAAAATACATGCTACTTTCCATTAAAAAATTAAACATTACAAAGTGAAGTACAGGTGCTTTTCAAGATACAACATCTTATTTTCTCTATTTAAGGACAAATTCTTTGTTAAATTTTAAATTTTTAAGTTTTAAACTTTCTATAAATACATTTGTGAGAATTTAGAATCCATTGTAATGTTATTTGCAACTGCATTTTAATGTTGCTTTGGTTTATCTCTCTCTTTTTTCAGGCTTCAAAATACATCCCTGATATCTGTGTTATTAGGGCAGTACAAAAAATTGTTTGGGCATCAGGTTGTGGGTCAGTTCAGCTGGTTTTCAGCTCGAATGAGGAAATTAGTAAAATCTATGAAAAGGTAAGAATTCCTAAGCAACTTCTTTTCCATATAACTGTTCTTTTGTTTACAAAAGGGACAGTGTCAATCAGGTCAGGCTTAGAGCGTGATGAGCTTTTAGGTAGTTATCTTGGTGATGATGTTTTTCAGAGTCTAGTATGATATGTCAGTTACCATACCGCAGTTTAATTTTCTATTCCAAATTCCTTTTCTCGGTAGTTATTTAATTGTAACTAAAATCTGGTGTCAGTTCAAAAATGTACCAGTTCTGTAAGCTGCTGTAACATGTTTTCAGCCCAGTTAGATTCTGTATGTAAAGAAATAAGCACTTCTTTGCAATGCTAATTTTCCTAGTCTTCAAATTGAAAAGGTCTATTCTACAGAGGTTTATTTAAAGCATATGTGCAGTCTAGAATGAGGAACAGGAGCTAATTGATCTGAAATTAGCACTGAAGCACTGGTAAAACAAAATAATTGCTAATCCTATATGGCTCTTTTCCTTTTTTATTATGTAGATATGTAGACCATCTTCATGGTTTCACATGTGGTTTATGCAAATAGTTTGGAGTTGGGGGTTATATGTTAGTATGTTGTCACACACCTTATGTTTAATGAATGTTGCTTACAGCTATAGGAGCTAGTAATCTGTATTTTGACAGTGATTTAAAAAAATATTTTTGTTCTTCACTTGTTCACCTTACAAAATCAAGTTTCATGCTCATCAATACTTGCCTGAGAGTAAAAGGGAAAGGAGTATATAGGGAAGTTTTATTCTTGGGGTGTTAGTTGTTGTGCTTAAATGATCAATTAGAGGAAGAATATTTACTTCAGCAAAATGCAACACCTTTCCATTTAGCTTATGTAGTGGTATAATGGCATCTGCTTCTATTGCTGTGAGAATGACTTCTTCATGAAGTAAGTTGGGGGTTTTTTGGTTGGGGTTTTTTTGGTGGGGGGGAGGTGATACAACTTGCATGTAAAAAGTGGTAAGTCTGTGGGGTAGAGATTTATCATTAAATGTTAGTTTTAAATGTTAGTTTAAGAACAAAAGCAGACTGATTTTTGTGGAATCAGGAATGAGTGTCAGGATTCCTAAAAGTATCAAAAGCAGCTATGGTAAATGGCTTTTTAAGAGGCACTTCAGAGTAGTCCCATCATGTATGACTTCTGAAAGAATGTTCTGAGCACTTTAAGAAGCTTCTGAACATAACTGGTGAATTCAATTAAACTTCAAAGTCAGGATAAGTTATTTTGAGAGCATAATTTTTATGGAGTCTCTTCTGCCTCCTGCCTCAAAAAATTCTGGTATGGGAGTTCTCCCAGTGGTTGAAAACGACTGTGTGTGACTTTCAGTGGTGTCAAACTGCCATTTCCTTATTAGCTCAGGGAAGGTCCATACCCGTCTGAAATACTGCAAGTATGCTGCTTGTACAGACCTGTCAGCTCTTGGTGCCTGAGTATAGGGAAGTACTTTGCTGAGTATAAAATGCGCTTTGCCTTTCTACTAGATCCCTGCGCCCATGCAGAAGTAACTTTCTTTTGTAAACAGGGCTTCAGTGCAGAGCAGGTGCAGTCCTGAACTTGTTGAAAGCATTCTGCTTTTACTTTCATATTTTGAGATGTGTCAGAATTACCACATCCTCCTGCTGCAGTGGTAGCGACTGTCTCTGATTTTTAGCTGTTGTGCAAAGACAAAATAGTGTCTGTTGCCAGACTGAGGCATGCTTTGTCCTCCTCTGCTACTGTTTACAGTTAGTTATCTCTTCTGCACTGTAATCCTTTCTTTCTGCCTGCTTAATCTTGATAACCTTTCCATGCATAAAACAAATACTTAGTTCATGTCTCTGGTTAATGTTACTAACCTGCAGCCATGATTACTGATGAATTAAGATTGAAACCTGCTCACATTCAGTTTCTTCAGAACTTCTTCAAGATGATTAATTTTGGCTTAGATGGAGGAGAGGGCTTGCTCTTTTTCTCAGAGTATTTATTTTGGTAAAGTGCACCAAAATCAACTCACTCAATTCAAGTGTTTAATTGAAAGAATAACCTATGTACCAATTAGAGACATTATCCTTTCGTATTTCAAAAGTCGCCACAGCAACTATGTTTGAAACTTGGTTCAGCTGTTACGTGTTTCTGAAAAATAGTGAAGTGCTGAATAAATTAAAAATAAAATTTAAAAAAAACAAGCAGTATTAAGAAGCTTATGGTCAAATAAGTTCTGAGTATCAAAGCTTTGTAAAACTGGGCTTCTTGATGAGTTACACAGCACTACAGCCTTTCTCTGTTTAAAGCTTTGGAAACAGTTACTATTTAAACTCCACATTCTGGGTAGTGAAGAAAAGCATCTTATTTAAAAATAAAAAAAACAAGCAAACAAATCCCAAATACAAACCCAACAAAAACATCCAATGGTACTAACTGATGTAACTTTTGTCTACAAGCTTCCTATTTAACTTCTGGCTCGTTAAGTTTGTGCTTGGAAACCTCCTTTGAGAAGCACAGTACTGGAAGTTCAGGTCATCCCGCATAGTGCTTTGAATCACATCTGAATGGAGTGCATAAAATACTTGCCACTGATAATCACTTAGTATACAAACTTGTGGTTCGTGTTTGTATTTAGTGTGTATACCTTGGAGCCAGTTGGGTTTCTTGGGATTTTTTTCCTATACCCACTTTGTGCTCTCTTGTTTATTTTCACAGACAAATGCAGGAAATGAACCAGACATGGAAGATGAACAAGTTTGCTGCGAAGCATTGGAGGTGATGACCCTGTGTTTTGCTTTGATTCCAACGGCACTGGATGCACTTAGTAAAGAAAAGGCATGGCAGACGTTTATCATTGATTTGCTATTGCACTGTCACAGCAAGTAAGTTTGGGTGGTGTTTTTTATCGCATATATTATTTTACAATTCAAAATTAATATAAAGCCTAAATGCAGAGCAGTGACTTCTTATTAAAGTGATTTTTCTGCAGTGTCTTAATTTATGATTTAGCAATATAATTCTTTAGATTGGATACCTATCCTAAAGTGGTAGCTATATCAGTCCCATCTTCTTTCTACTCATAAGGAGGATATTGTCAAGCCAGATGGATGGCTGATAATGTGCTACTGATGGCTTTAGAACAACTTATTTAGAATAAAATAATAGGTACTTTATGTTTTACAGAAATTATGTGAATACTCACTACAGTAGAATGTTTTAAGTGACTCTAGGTATAGAAGAACTTTCCTATACTTTCTCTGATAAGTAAAGACAAGATACAGTGCTAGCAGTTTGAGGAGAGGGGGATGTTAAGATTTAATCCTCTGGTTTTCTTGCAATGGAGTGGTACATTTGTGACTCTTCATGTGACTCATGTTTTACATAGAGCTGTCACGCTGGAGCTGTCACCTGGTGCAGTAGCAGCATCTTGGTGGAGCCCTTGGCACTGTTGGGGGACAGACGGACAGGGAAAACCAGCAGGAGCTGCCCAGAGCAGTGTGGTTCAATTGCTCTGCAGTCCTGCTGTAGAGTTCAGGGATGTCTTGTTATCTTCAAGCTGATCCTACAGTTCCCCTTAAAGAGCATCTGCACAATACAGCGTCTGTATGATGTGTGTCTTGTGACTTCTAGCCCATCTGAAATTGTGATGCAAAGTATTGGGGTGTGTATTTTTAGAAGCCATCCAGGTGGAAAGTTTTTGTATGTTGTTATTAAACTTAAGTTACTAGTGCTTTGAACTGTTACTAAAGAATTAATTCTAGTTTTGTAAGATAGCTCGGCTGTTGTTCAATGAATATTTGAACTTTTCTTTGAGAAATGGCAGAGCTCAGAAATCAGTGAAGTTGTGTAAGCCTTTCAGTACATTTTAAATGGAGTCAGATTGTGGTGCTCTCAGACGACTGAGGTTGGAATTTCAGCACCATGTTTTGGGTTTTTTTACTTTCTAGATAAAACAGGTTGAAAAGTCTTATGTTCAGGAATATTCACCATAACAAAAGGATCAATAGCATCATCGCAGTATCTCTTTACAATGAGCTACTTGCACACATTGGTGAAACTGTGGAGTGTTATTATCAGAATCCCACAAGCTTTATTAGTTTGCAACCTGTGATATATAGGATGTTGAATTTTCAGCTTCAGTGAAGCTTGTTGTTATCGCTTAAATTAGATAAGTTTAACAAAACATGCTGACAAATGTATGTTGTAATTTTACACATTAAATGCAACAAGCTGTCTTTCACTATTTTTGGTAACTTTCAAGGCTGATGAGTAAGAAATCACTAAATTTTATTTTTAAAACTGTCAACAGTTGATAATCAAGTTACTGTTTTGACAGTAAGTATATGTTGGCCACATGTCAAATTTGGAGTACCGGTATAACTGAATAGCATGGGCAAGTGTTAGTACTGCCCCATCTTTTTTTTTTTCTTCTTCTTTTTTAATGTGGATGCAAAGATGTATCAGATTTCTGGCTTTTTTACACAATCTTAATCGTACAAATGTAAGTAATGGGTGATAATTTTTATAATTTCGCTGTAGTTATCTGACTTTCTGGTATTGTACTTGGAATTCAAGTGACATTTCTCAAGTGTCCACCAGCATTTGTATTTTTTTTAGTGTTTGGTATCAACACTTTGCAGACAGAAGTATTTCTTTGCATATTAAGTTCAGTGAGTAGTTCTCAGGTTTAGTTTGTAAATAAGAAATGTATTTGCGTGAATACTAACTTTGGAGAGCTTAAAGATTGTTATCTAATATAGCGGCCAAACCTGTGTGATCTCTGTGCTTATTTATTGGCAGTATTACAACATTAAAACTTCTGGGGCTGCTTCTCATGAGACATGTCTCATTAAATGGTCTTAAAACCTTTCTTTAAGCTTTGAATATCACAAACTGAGATTCTTGTCACTTTGCGTGGGCTGGAAAGCTGTCATCACAGCTAGGTATCTCTTCTTTTGTTTTTAGCTGTGCTGCCATTTATCAGGTGTCAGGGTTAACAGTTTCTTATTTGCTATTGTTTTCACTGGTTTGGATTAATAGGCCAGGATTTTGTCATCAAGAATAACTGAGAAAATAGTGGGATATTCTTTTGTTGCTATGAATCTATTTGGTGATCCTTCCCACTCTAGAAATGCTGTGCCCGTAATGCTTTTCTTGCTGCAAGAACTCAGGGAATAGCTGTGTTCGTGTTTACTTTAAAAAAATGAACAAACAAAACCACCCAAAAACCCCATAGAATGAGTACATTTAACTGTTAATTGGTTGCAAAAAATAATTACTCTGCATAGTTTTACATTTACAGCATAATGTAAAATATTAAAATAGTTACTAGCAAGATAGCAACGTTCTGGTTTTACAAACAGAATAGTGCCAATGACAAACCTGCACCAAAGATGACTTGTTCCCACTCTTTCAGTCCTTGAAAACTGCAGATGTTCTTTGTGAGGATTTTTCTGTTCTGGTCATATTTCCCTAAGGAAGTGAACTATTGGTTCAAATCCGGAACTTTTAAATCTGTAAGTCTTAAATTTCATTGTGCAGGTTCTTTCTAACACAGTTTGTGATGGAGGTAGATCTTCTTAACAAAACCTATAGTCTTAATTTACAGATGGGAATATCTGTTATGGTTTTGCCAGTCTCTTCCAATGGTTACTCTTCTTGCTCATTTGAGCTTTGACTGTATTTGAATCCAAACTATTTCATAGTTATGCCTAGTGAATAGTTGACTGTTAAACTTTTCTTCCTAAATACTGGAAGAAACTAGATGTGTCCCCAAGCTGGGGCTTTTCTTTCCACATGTTTTGTTGGCATGTCAGCCCCGTGAATGAACAGCAGTGGCTTAATTCCCCAGGTGTGTTAGCTTTTTGGCCTTTAAAAACAAGAGTAGCATTAAGGGGTGGGGTTTGTTTGGGGTTTTTTTTGTCAGAGGGGGGAAAATTTTTAAGGGCTTCTCTTATCCAAGTGGACTGCTGCTCAGCTCCTTATCTCTGCTTTCTTTCTCCACCGGAATGGGAACTGAGCTGAATTTACTGCATGGAAAAATGGTTCATACTGACAGTACAGGCAGCTAACCATTGAGCTCTTTTCTCTGATATGCTTGTAAAATTGCTAATATGTATGATAATCTCACTTAGAATGCAACTGTTCACTATTACATGATGGTTAGAATACCATAAACATGAGTAGAAATGGAAGACTGCTTTGAAAATGAAGACAGTGAAGTTGAACTAAGCTAAGTTCCTTTTCTGCATTAACATGGAAATAAATTTAGTGTTTGCAGTGCAGAGAAAGATTAGCAAATACCAGACAAAATTCTGAATATTCTTCCTTTTTCAACTATTGTTCTCTAATCTCCTGTCCTCAGTCAGAGAACAATGAGCAAAAATATGTATGTGAGAAAATGTTTCTGGTGCACCATAAAAGACAAGGAAGATGATCAAGTTCAGATCTCACAAATACAATCATTCTGGAAAAGATAGATGGATTGGTGGGTTTTGTTTGTTTCTTTCAGAGGTTGAGATTGTATGGGACTTCTGCTGTTTCCTCATAGCATAACCATGCTACCTATAAATAGAGAAACAGAATACAAAACGTTTAATACTAAATAGTTGAGCAGTTCTTACTCTCCAAAGTAATTGATTTTACAGTGGTGAACCCTGAATACAAGACTGGCTTAGTCAACAGTAGATAGTTGAACAGTTAGTTCTAAATGATCCTGGATCCCAGAAGTATTCTGCTGGTGGCTGTAAAGTGTTTGGTGGTCATACATATGTGGCCCAAATAAATAAAAATTCTTACTGCCTGTGTAAAGCAATGGTGCTTATACCCATTGAAGAGGCTGACTTCTGCTAACTAAACAGAAATCTGTATCCTGGAGCTATCAGTAGGATGGGATTCAGGTTGCCTGCCTTAATGGAGACATTTGGCCTCCAGCTGTTTCACCGGGTGAATGTGAATTCATCATGCAACTCATGTCCTATCTGCCAGCTTTACGCTGTTGTCATGGTGTCTAACATGGCACTAGATGCCTGTGTTTAGGCAGCTGCATCCCTCCCATGGTTCCTTAAGAACTCTTAGATTGTTACAGCCTCACGAAAGTATACTTGTGTTCAAATACTGCATATTCCTTAGACACATACAGTGTGAAGTATGTGTTTCCTTGGTCACACTTCTCACTTTAGGAAAACACCACCTTTATCTCTTTATTCTGCTTTTAAGTGCATGAACCTGAGGAGTGTCAATGTGATGTGTCCCAAGCAGCTGAAGGGTTGCATCTTAAAAGAAACTTCTGTGCAAAGTTTTATGAAAACATCAGCTCTGCAATCAGATCCCATAAAATGTCCATTATTATTAAGAACAAAACAGACCCCCTCCACCCCATGGTCTTCTGCAACTTAAAGCAATGTAGTAGAACTTGTAAAGATCAGAGAAGGGTGACAAGCGAGATCAAAGCTCTGAAATGACTTCCATCTGAGGAACAGCTGAATAGCTTGGGGCACTTCATATTGGGGAAGAGATAAATGGTGGGAGGAGAATACCACAGAGACCTTTAAAATCAGAAGTAGTAAAAGGAGAATAAATAGAGAACAGTGTTTCTTTGTATAAGAACTTCTTGAGCATAACATTTAAGCAGTCTAAACCTTCAGTTTGGAAATAGTTTGAGGGGTTCTTTCATGAATTTGTCCAGTGAGGACTATGAAATACTGCTCTTGGTAGTCTTCCTGAACCACAAATGGTTAGAAGCTGAGAGAACATTCTGGAGAAGTGTCACTACATGCTTCCCTCTTACTGTGCACTTTCCTAGGTGTATACCAGAGAGACAGAGTGCTCAGTTAGGTGCGTCTTTGCTCTGGCCTCATGGTCATTCGTGCACGTCTTTGAAGCACAGTTAGCCTCACAGGAAAGAACTCTGAAGGAAATAGGATTCTTTTGTGCACTTTTCACAGAGACCTCATGGGCAGGAAACAATGACAGCCACACCAAAAAGACACTGTAAAATTCAGTTTCTTATCTGCTGAGATACTTTCATAAATCACAGTGTTCATTTGTATTCTTTCCCCACACAAGCAGAGTTGTTTCTAACAGTTTTTACAGGCTATAATGCTTAGACAATTAATCTCACAACTTGAAAGAATAGAGTTTGCTGTATTTTTTTTTTCCCTTAAGCTTATCCTACATTATTCCAGTGGTTGGATTAAGTTCTTAAATGAAAAATTTCCTTTAATTCTAGTCACTTGAATTTTCAGGGGGTCATTTTTTCTCATTTCTTAGTAAAGATAAATTTTGATCACTTCATAGATGCTCAGCAAACTGCTGTAGCGATACATAAGAGCAGTTTTACTAGAATAGTTTTATTTTGTCTTTCAGGCACAAATGGTGCTTGATTAGAAAAAACAAAAATTTATTTAAGGTTGCAAATTGCTTGTTGTGTTATGCAATATTTGCTGGCAGTTGCAAAGGTTTAGTGGTTAGGTGCTGATAAGTTTCTTTTTCTTTTACCTTTAAATATTTGATTTGCAGAACAGGTTTTGTAGTAGTAATGCATACGTCTAAAATTTCACTGAAAGGAGAAACAATATGATGGGTAGTGAATAATTAAAGTATTCCCATTTCTTACATTATGTGCAGTTTTAGAAAATGGTATTAAGGACATAAGCACAAATTTAATTGTGGTTTTTTTTTTTTTAATGTCCTGTTTGGATAGGGAGATTGTATTTAATGTTTCTATTAAATGACTTCCAGAACTGTTCGTCAGATGGCACAGGAGCAATTCTTTTTAATGGCTACCAGGTGTTGCATGGGACAGAGACCTCTCCTTTTCTTCATTACCCTGCTGTTTACTGTTTTAGGGGTAAGTTTTTAGAGGTAAAGGCTTCAGCACAATGTGAACTTCTGTAAAAACTAGTGAGACAAAATATCTGCAAGAAATATCAAATTGCTATTAACAGCAGTCACTAAAATACAGATTTCTTTTGACCTATACTGAAGCAGCACGGTTGACTTCCATTTGAGTTAGATGAGGGGGAAAGGGACTTTTTTGCGTTTTCTGATAGGAACATGAACAATAAGTTTTAATGTATGCGTTTGATCTTCAGTGAGTGCTAACCTTCAAGTAAAATTCATTAGCAGATTAGATAGGTACCTACAGTTATCGCTGCCTTTTACTGGGCCTGCCAGGGCTTTTCAGTTCTTGTGTGCTCATGGCTCTTTTGAACATTGGATCGCTGCATTGTTTGTTTCTCATTCAGGTATAGAAATAGCTACTAAAATAGTCCAGAAGTCATTCATTAACAGCTAAATAAAACTGTGAACTTCTGAAAGGTTAAAAATTACCTTACGCTTCTTTTCTTTCATATTTACTGCCAGTTTTAGGGAAAATGTGTTAGTGTTGCACTATAAGTAGAAGCGTGTATGAATTTATTTAATTTGTTTTTGGTTTACATAGAGTACCGCAAGAGAGCGAGCTAAGCATTCTGGAGACTACTTCACCCTTTTAAGACATCTTCTTAACTATGCTTACAACAGTAATATTAATGTACCCAATGCTGAAGTTCTTCTCAATAATGAAATTGACTGGCTTAAGAGGATTAGGGTAAGTTTTAGGATCAATTTATTTCTGATGATCAGCTTTTTGCTGCTTTGTTGTAAAGTATAGTTTCATGTTTGGTAAATGTATATTATTTAGAGTATCCTAACTTTCTCCTGAATGGCAGGATGAAGTAAAAAGAACAGGGGAAACAGGTGTTGAAGAAACTATTTTAGAGGGTCACCTTGGAGTAACAAAAGAGTTGTTAGCATTCCAGACACCTGAGAAGAAATACCATATTGGTTGTGAAAAAGGAGGTGCTAATCTCATTAAAGTAAGTTCAAGTTTTTTGACCTATGAAGTTTTCTTATTTTTCTTGTGTACTATAAATAGGTAAAAAGAAGCTTCACATCTTGCGGTCTGCAACCATAATAGGTCCCAATTTAGCTGTTTGACAAGGGCTTCTAATTGGAGTTTATGTTTTTTTTAAAAATAGTTTTTAAAAAAATTACACATTTCACTCATAAGGGTGCTTAACATTCTCATTCTTCAGAACCACTGCGTGTGGAGTTGCTGTAACCTCGTGAGCTGTTATTCCAAGGTTTGGCAAACACAAGGATAGTGAGGTAGATAGAGGATAATCCTGAACAGGACAGCTTGCTTTCATTACCCCTGTATTGTCTTTTCTCCACATGTTCTTAATTAGTGCTATTAATGTTCATGGCAGGTTTAAACAAATGCATGACATCCGAGCGTCTCTTTAATGAGACGTGTTTTCTTTGTACCTCTGATATTATACAGCAGCAATGTTGTTTTTTTCAGCACTAATTGGTAAAGAGCTTTGTAGATAATACTGGTTTGGCAAAAGAAAATTTTTACCAATCAAGAATAACACAGATTTATTTTTAAATTGCAGTAGCAGGGTGGGTTTGCAGGGAACCACTTTAGAATGGAGTTACTCTGTTCTAAATTTAAAAGCTCATTATGGTGTTGGTCTCAATTTTAACTCTTTTTTTTTTTTTAAGTACTCCTCTGGTTCCCAAACGTTCATTTATATAATAACTCTTAACTCTGTTATAAAATAGTGTGCATTTCTGTGGTAACAGGTGATTTATTTTCTTTTGTTTTTTTCAGGAGTTGATAGATGATTTCATCTTTCCAGCATCCAATGTTTATTTACAATACATGAGAAATGGAGAATTGCCTGCTGAGCAGGCCATACCAGTCTGTAGTTCACCAGCTACTATTAATGCTGGCTTTGAGCTACTAGTTGCACTAGCAGTTGGATGTGTCCGAAATCTCAAACAGATAGTAGACACCTTGACTGAAATGTATTACATAGGTACAGCAATCACTAGTATGTAACATTTTTAATTATCTATTTTCTACTTTTTAATGTGTATATTATGTATAGGTTTTGTTTATGTTATCTATTAACTGAACTAAATGCTGGGTTTTTTAGTTTGTGGTTTGTTTGTGGCTGCTTTTAATGTTGCAAAATCAGGCTGTCAAAATCTAGAAAAGTTTATCAGTGTAGCCTTTATTTGTTCTTCTTTATGCAGTAAATGTACTGACTTGCATTACACTGTTGCATCCAAGTTCCAGCCCCAGTCACTTACATAGTCTGACCCTTCCTACCCTGATCTCTGGCTACTCCCCTTTGTCCCTACCAGCTCCCAGGAAGCTCGTTCTGTCTGTATCTTCTACTTTTGTCTCATCGTTTCAGGCTCTGCCTAACCAATCCCAGAACCTCATCAGGTATCTTCGACTTAGTTTTAGTGCCAGTCTCTCGGTTGCTCACCTAATTTGTCATCATTGTCCACACACAGACACAGGTCCACTGTCCTGTTTCCCTTTTTAGTCCTGTACTCATTCACTGCTTGTCGTAGTCCTTTCTCAATCGTTTGTTCTCTCAGTTTTGGCCTTGTCTCAGCACAGCTCTGCACTTAAAGAACTTTCTCCTTCACACCGGAGGAAGATTATAACAATTGCAGTATGTACAAAACCTTGGAAATGTTAGTGTTTCAAAAGCCAATAGTCAAGGGCTAATTTTCACAAGGATGGCAAAAGGCTCATGCTTAACACAGATTTTGTTATCGATTAAAAACATGTAAGGCTTCCTTAAAAATGAACAAACGAGCATATTTTCTGCAGCCCTAAAGGGGATAGCTAAACCATTTTGTCTGTAATATTAACAGAAAAGGGGGGGTTGAACCAACCAAGAAAACCAAACCAAGCAAACACAAGCTCATATGGGGAAAAAAGGCTGAAAGAGTTGGGATTGTTCAGCCTGGAGAAGAGGTCTCCAGGGAGACCTTATTGTGGCCTTTCAATACTTAAAGGGGGCTTATAAGAAAGATGGAGAGAGACTTTTTATCAGGGCCTGTAGTGAACTGAAAGAGGGTAGATTTAGGTTGGACATAAGGAACAAATTCTTTACGGTAAGGGTGGTGAGACACTGGAACAGGTTGCCCAGAGAAGTTGTGGATGCCTCATTGTTGGAAGTGTTCGAGGTCAGGTTGGATGGGCCTTTGAGCAACCTTATCTAATGAAAGGTATCCCTGGCTGTGGCAGGGGTTTGGACTAGATGATTTTTAAAGGTCTCTTCCAGCCCAAACCATTCTGTGATTTGAGAGAATGTTTAAACTTACAGAGTTTAGCAAAACTATAAACAACTAGAAGTAGTACCCCATAGTGGGAATTGTCCACTACCTCTCACAATGGCAGTGCTACTTGCCCAGTTTGTGGTATCAGTGAGTCATTTGAGGTTTTTCAATCTCTTCCTGTTTGGTTCCATCTCAAATGAACAAGTGAAAAGGGCAGCTTTATGGTTTTTCCCCCGCCTCATCGTTTTTTCGTCACCGTTTTCTGTTGGGAAGTAGTGTATTTCTTATCACCTCACAATCAGAAGGATTTTATGGCCTTTTCCTTCGACTCAGATATTTGATAAGCATGATAGAACACCAGATCTCCATGGTGTGTCAGACAGAAGAGAGAACACACGTATGAACTGTGCATGCTGTGTGTTTCATATACCAAGTAAAGCTTACTTGTAAACATGCATGCTCTTTTACTTACTTTTACATCAGAATTTTTTTGTGTTAAAAGCACATGACAATAGGTTAGCATAGGAAACCTGTCATTGTAAATGTACTCTGAAGAGATGTGAGAGGTCTGGTCTGAGGGAGAAGACTCAGGAGAAAAAAAAATCTATCACAAGTCATATAGATAGCATAATCTAAAACTGTTTCCTGTCCTGGCAAGGAGAAGTGAGGTATAAGTGAAATATTGTAATTCTAAAATTGTAATATAAATTTGTGAGTCTTATAAATTGTTTATATATTCTAGATTCATTCAGCTGACTTCTTCAGCTAATAAACTTGCTGGTATTGAGGGAAGACTTCTGTTTGGTACATAAATAAACTGAATTTTTGTCTGGCCACCTTTTTAGTTAGGCAATAGAAAAAAATGGTGTAATGTTAATATTACAGATAGAACTGTCGTTCATAGAAGTTGTGTTAATTTTAGCAATTAAGTTTTCTGGTGGAACATTTGTTTTATTAAACTGTAGTGTGCTACAGACTAATACTAATTTTATGCAACTGCCCTTTGTACTGCACTGATGGTCTAATTCTTTTATAACAAAATGGTTTCCTAATCACATTCTGTTATTTTCTTTTAGCTTGTGAAGCGCTTACAGAATGGGAGTATCTACCACCTGTTGGGCCTCGACCGCCAAAGGGATTTGTAGGACTAAAAAATGCTGGTGCCACTTGTTACATGAATTCTGTCATTCAGCAGCTGTACATGATTCCAGCCATCAGGAATGGGATTCTTGCAATTGAAGGCACAGGCAGTGATGTAGATGATGACATGTCTGGGGATGAAAAGCAGGACAATGAGGTAAATTTAATTACATAGAACTTGCTTATCTTTAAAATAGAATTCTTTCTAATGAAAAGGTTATAACAAATTTAAGTTGCTAATCACTTCACTTTCCACTGCTAGCAGTGGGGACAATAACATAATATTTGTTAACTTGAATAGGCTCGCTGCCAGACAAGGCAGTTCAAAACATGCAGGTAGCAGGGTTTGCAGACTTCCTCCTCGTGGGTCTGTACTTGAAAGCACCGTACGCCACTTCTCTTCACCAGAACTCTGTTAATGCATACAAAGATATTATTTGTTTCTTCAGATGAGAATATGAAACGCCTTAGATTGTTAAATGAAACCAGGGATACAACTAGTTATTGGATAGCTACATATCCAAAGTAATTGCACAAATTTTCTTCTGCTTTTCAGAGCAATGTTGACCCACGAGATGATGTGTTTGGTTATCCACATCAGTATGAAGACAAACCAGCACTAAGTAAAACAGAAGATAGAAAAGAGTACAATATTGGCGTTCTGAGGCACCTCCAAGTAATTTTTGGCCATTTAGCAGCTTCCAGGCTACAGTACTATGTACCAAGAGGGTTTTGGAAACAATTCAGGTAAATAGAAAATGTAGTATTGATGTCTGTTCACTGGACCACTGAAATGCAACAAAACTAATCATAGTAGAAGAAATGATAGTGATGTTAAGCGTAAATTCGCAGAACTTGTGCAGCATTGTATCTGTTATCCTACCTGTTTACCGTTTTGTAGAAGTCTGTTAATAAACCAAAGTTTACAGCAAGATGGTTATTTTGAATTCTAGCAGTTCTTGACCTTGATACTGAAACTTTGAATCAACTATGAAGTTATGCACAAAAGCTTGTTTTACTTCCTAGTAAGTACGTGTCAGGGACAGAGTGACAGTTGGTATACTATATCACAAACCAATAAATAGTTTTGCCCAGTAAGAAGGAGAGATTAATAGCTTGAATAATATTTTTTTGGAGAAGAAATTGTTGGAGAACAAAACAAAAAGTATTTGACAAGAATGTGCTTTTGTTTTCAGACTTTGGGGTGAACCTGTAAATCTACGTGAACAACATGATGCTTTAGAATTTTTTAATTCTTTGGTGGACAGTTTAGATGAAGCTTTAAAAGCTTTGGGCCATCCAGCAATGTTAAGTAAAGTTCTAGGAGGGTCCTTTGCTGATCAGAAGATTTGTCAAGGATGCCCACATCGGTAAGTGTTTAAGATTCACCTTTTTTAGAGAAAAACGAGCTGTGTTTGTATCCTTATAAAAGTGAGTGAAGAGTGGGGGGTTTGTGTGGTTTTGGGTTTGGTGGGGGTTTTTTTAAGCTAATAGAATTTACTACCTTGTTTTTTCTACAGCCTTAACATTAATTTGTGTTCAAGTGCCTTGAAATACTTGGTCATTATTATTTCTACTTAGCAGATTGTATGTGAAGCATTGTGTATTTATCAGGGGAGGAACAGATACAGCTTTTTCATGTTAAAAGTGAAAATAACTTAGGGATGAAATGCAATGTATAAAATTTTAAGACATGGCTAACAGCTGTTGCTGTCTTCTGTCTTCCATAGTGTGTGGATAGAGCTGACCCAAGTATGAATCTTTAATTCCAATGAGTAAAATTCCGTTCATACTCACTGTGTGAGCTGTAATGAAGGAGAATTGTATGTAGAAAGTTTATCGTTTTCTTAGGATTTCTGCTGTATTTTTAATTAACTTAAAACGTGAATACTGAAATTGAGCTTCATATAGGGTTATGTGAAAAACCACCCATACCAAATCAGACTGAAAGTCTGTAGCCCACTGTCTTGATAATGGTGACCAATGATAAATGCTTAGTGAAGGAATAGAACTAGGCATTGTACAGTTGTACTTCTCTAGACTTCTTCTTCTGTATCACTTTTGAGGTGGATGATTAGATTTGCGTGCAAGATTCAAGGTGGCCTAATGGTGGACTTGTTCTTTTTCAACAGTTGGCTGCTTTTATTATTGTGTTAAATTTTGTATCGCTAACAGTTGGCCTTCTTACTGTTCGCTACATCTTTCAGATCATCTGTGATTCTTAAACGATATAGATTTCTCTGCACATTGCCATTGCAAATTCTCTTTATTGTGAAAGTTGACCATTTACTGCTGTCCTTCAGTTAGCAATAAAAATACAGGAAAAAACGCTGATACAAATTGATTTTATTGCGGTAATCTTTCAACTTCAGTTGAGCTCATGTGTGAATTAGAAGAACTTATAAGTGGAACATCTTACGTTTCATGGGTTAAAATGTGTGACCAGAAGTAAGTTGAAACATTGCAAGATAAAATGAAAGCACTGATTTTATTTTATATGCAATGGTTAATTAGATGGAAGATACAGATGTGAAGCAACGTGAGTTACCATTCATTCCTGATATTATGTACTATTGTGAAGTATTACCTGTCTTTTTGGAACTCTACTGGATTTGCATAATTGTACTTCTTAATAAAAATGTTACCCTGATTGTAGTTTAGGGAGGAGAAAACTGATGATAAACTAAACTATTGGATTGGGGTATGGCAGATTAACAGCCTTTCTAAATTTGTAAGTTATTTAATAGATGAATGAATGTTACTCTTTTGGTTGAAGTGTTTCTAAATATTAATTTATTCACTGTTATAAAAACCTTTGTATGCTTGATTGCATATCAGAGAAACAAGCCCTGCAAGGTTACGTTGGAATAGATGCAACTTCTTAAATTTATTCATCGCTGCTGTATCTTTAAAAAAAAAAAAAAAGATGTTTCCAAGATGTCTTAACTGGTTGTCTCTCAAGCATTGCTGGTTCATTGCTAGGAATTTGTCTGAAGGTTATATCAGAACACAGTAAGTCAAAGCTTGTCATAAATATGCAGAGTGGTTTTATGAAGACAGCTATTCAGGTTTTTTCAGATAGAAAAATAAAAAGGCACCCCTCTCTCTCTCTCTGAACTGCTGTCTAGGTATGATACGATACTTGTTTTTATCAGTCTTAATTCCTGACAGTAAAGGTCAGCAATGGAAAACGTACTTCACTTTGCTATCTGTGCTTCTCTGCTAGCTTAAGTTAGCCAAGAGTCTTTCATGCTACTTCAGCTGCTTTAAAAACAAGCTGTGCTAAAAGGTTCAACTTCCATGATCTTTTCAGTGAGACATACAAGTTGTTTCTATGATCTTCATAAAATAACTACAGTTAGTGCAGATCAAAAAATACAATGTGCAGGTACTATAATGTAATTGTAGGAAGACTACAATAAAAAAAAGAGGTTGGTTTGTTTTGTTTTGTTGTTTTTTTTGTTTTTTTTTTACTGCTTAACTCCTCTTGCCAGAAGTTCACATCAAATGCTGAGTAAAACTTTTGCAGTAAGGTGCTGTGTAGCACCTGTAAAACATAAAAGTTGAACACGTTTCTACCTTTCTCTTATGTCTGTCTGTTCATTGGTAGGTACGAATGCGAGGAATCCTTCACAACTCTGAATGTAGATATAAGAAATCACCAAAACCTTCTTGATTCTTTGGAACAGTATGTCAAAGGAGATTTATTGGAAGGTGCAAATGCATATCATTGTGAAAAATGTAACAAAAAGGTAATGATTCCTTATATATTAAATTTGTTTACAACTGTGATGTTACAGCTGTACTAAGTTCAGTCTTAGTTCATGTTCAGGGGAAAAAAGTTATCTTTCAATTGCTGACTTTGGATGTTGGTATGGAATGGAAACCTAAGAGCCGATAACTGTTCATGTCCTTTTTTAGGTTGATACAGTGAAACGCTTGTTGATTAAGAAGTTGCCTCCAGTTCTTGCAATCCAGTTGAAACGATTTGATTATGACTGGGAAAGGGAATGTGCAATCAAGTTCAATGATTATTTTGAATTTCCACGAGAGCTGGACATGGAGCCTTACACGGTGGCAGGTGTAGCTAAATTGGAAGGAGATGATGTAAATCCTGAAAATCAGATAATACAAAACGAACAGTCAGAAAATGAACACTCTGGGAGCACGAAATACAGGCTTGTTGGTGTACTTGTACACAGTGGTCAGGCCAGTGGTGGACATTATTATTCTTATATTATCCAGAGGAATGGTGGAGATGGTGAGAAAAATCGGTGGTATAAATTTGATGATGGAGATGTGACAGAGTGTAAAATGGATGATGATGAAGAAATGAAAAACCAGTGTTTTGGTGGAGAATACATGGGAGAAGTGTTTGATCATATGATGAAGCGTATGTCCTACAGACGCCAGAAGAGATGGTGGAATGCTTATATTCTTTTTTATGAACGTATGGACACAATAGACAAAGACAATGAACTAATAAAATATATTTCAGAACTCGCTATCACCACTAAACCCCATCAGATTAAAATGCCATCAGCCATTGAACGAAGCGTACGGAAGCAGAATGTGCAGTTCATGCATAATCGTATGCAGTACAGCCTAGAATATTTCCAGTTCATAAAGAAGTTGCTTACTTGTAATAGTGTCTACTTAAATCCTCCTCCAGGTTAGTATGTTAGTGCAATAATCATGGATTAATTTCTTGCAAGAAGAGTTTTGATTTGTGTCGTCAAGAATTTGTCTAGCCAGTGAAAATTTTGTGCATTCTGCTTTGAATACTCTGTCTTTCTGGAATTCTGCAGTTAAACATCTCTTGTTGAGTTGTTCATCAGTGATAACAAGCCAGAATATTTAGCAAAAAATACTTCAATAAACTATCAGCTATTATTGTGTACTAAGTCATGTTAAATACTTAAGTTTGTGGGCTGTTCTGCTGAAGACAGTTCTGAAAGGTGAGATGCTGAATTTCTAAAAATCAGACATATGTTAGCCTCCAGGTACTTGTTACTATCTTAAAGCTTACATTTTCAAATGAAATATTACAGAAGCTCGAGGCTTTTTTGATCAAGTTTCCCATTAAAATTGGAACACAGTGTCAGACAAAATAGTAATCTGGAATCAGTTAAATTATTAAAAGTAAATTGCTTTTACTTTGTCTACATGTCAGTATTTTGATTTTTCTTTAGGACAAGATCATCTGTTGCCTGAAGCAGAAGAAATAACTATGATTAGTATTCAGCTTGCTGCTAGATTTCTCTTCACCACAGGATTTCATACAAAGAAAATAGTCCGTGGCCCTGCTAGTGATTGGTATCTTGTCTTTTGAAAACAATTACAGCTTTGGAAGTTCCATGTCTGTTTAAAAGATCCTGGTCATATACATATGACAATAGAAGGTGTTAGTGGTCTGCCCCATTTTCGCCCGACCCCCAAATACATGGTCAAGGTGCACATGAAAAGGGGGGAAAATTTGAACAGAAAATACTGGGAAGAAACTGAGCCTTAAAATAAGCTGCTGAGCCGAACAGCTTCAAAAGTCATTTTCAAACAGAGCTTAAGTGTACCTTTTGTCTGTCTTTTAAAAAGAATAAACGAGTATAATCTGTCGCTAGCGCAAAACTAATAAGTTATGTATTCTGACCTTAATTCAGAATGCTTTGTTCATGGTTTGAGTAGTTTTAAACAAAGATCTTTTCAACCCATCTTGGCATCTTGCATTTGTATTCTATTTCTGAAACATGTATAGTCTTTTCGAGTCTGTTAGAGTGCTTTATGTACATTGCTACGGGGCCTATAATTCAAATCTGTAGTATAACAAACAGTACAGTCTTATTCATAGCACCACAGCACTTTAGTCTTTAAGCGAGGTTATTCTGTGTTGGGGAGAGGAGTGTGGGTTACTACTGGTAGAACTAGGGAGAAAAATCTAGTATTCATGATGACCAGTAGTTTACCAGCTGCTAGTAAGTAGTTGTGTAATACATGGCAAATACATACCTCAAGTTTTTCTCCAATAGCAATTTTCAGAGTAGCTAAGTTACTCCTGTTATTTTAAGAGGTCAAGAGGAGTTCAAATATTGCTGCAGGAAGGAGGACAGTCACACAAGACACTCTCTGGAACAGATATTTTACTCTTTTGGGGTTTTGGGTTTTTTAGATCTGTAAATGAGAATATAAATTCCTGATAGGTTACATATTTGGCTACCTGTCTTATACAGAGCTTGTGAAATCCACCTCATGTTCTCCACTGCTCACCCTCTCCCCCAGTTCCAATACAGAGGGAATGACAGCTGCCAATTTAGGACCTGTGTTGAGTAGTAGTTTGGGAGTTAGGGGATGTAATGCTGTCTTGGTTCTTAGGGGCGATAGAAGTAAAATGCTATGGTTAAATGTTAGTTTTTTAATTGAAGTGTCTTTTTAATTTGTGATTGCTAGTAACAGTATCACTATAGGAACTACAGGTTATCTGATTGTAAGCATTTTGTGAGCAGAAATACTTGGAGATACTTTTAACATGTATTTTCTTCAAATTCTGGAAAAATTCATTAATGTTTACATTTGGTCATAATCTCTCAGTTGTGTAATCTTCTATTTCAGGTATGATGCATTATGCATCCTTCTTCGTCACAGCAAGAATGTACGCTTTTGGTTTGCACACAACGTCCTTTTTAATGTTTCAAACCGCTTCTCTGAGTATCTTTTGGAATGTCCTAGCGCTGAAGTGAGAGGTGCATTTGCAAAACTTATAGTATTTATTGCACATTTTTCATTGCAAGACGGACCATGCCCTTCACCTTTTGCCTCTCCTGGACCTTCCAGTCAGGTATTTAATGTTCTAATGAAAAACTTCCGAAACTTACTCTTACTTCTTCGTTATAAGCATTTAATGTAAAGTAAATTCCTGGAGTTAGATGCGTCAGTGTTGACAGGAAAGCTGTACAGTCCATTTTGCACTATATGCATCATGTTAACTCGACCAGTTTATGTGAGAGTTGCTGTCAGAGGGGTTCAGTTTCCCCTCATTTGTAAATCTCTATGAAGACTAAGTAGTGAGAACTTCAAGTTGCAAGTGTGAAATCTGCAAAATAAAAGTAGTGGCTTATAATAAAGTAATGTGTAGGGGGAGTGAACCCTTATTTTTAATTTAGAAGTAAAAAACCAACCCCTCCCCAAAAAAACCAAAACCAACCAACCAAAAAAAAAAACCGCCAACAAAAAAAACCCACAAAAACATGCAGGAGTTCCCTAAGTTTTCTTCCCCTGTGTCCTGCAACATTGAAATTGTTAAAAATTGCAACTTTGCATAGGAGTAGCCAGTGAATTGCCTAATTTTATACACCTAGAACTGACAAACAAAAAAAAACCAAAATCTTAATGTAATACTTGTCATAACAATGTTTTTGTTTGGACTGTATTAAAATTTAAAAGATCAACCTTTTTGAGCCTTTGCTTTGTCATGTTTTTAATATCTACAGTAAGACACTTTTTATTTGTATTCCACTTACCTTCTCCAGAATGTTTTCATTACTGTATCCAGCAAAAGAATTTGTATCAAGTGAAAGCTGTATGTGCTTTGACAGTGTTTTGTTTCATGAGGTATTTGAGATACACCTGTAGAGGTGATTTGATTGTCTGTCTTAGTCTATGAAGTTCACAGTGGAACTGCATGTGCTTTTCTGAGTATTTAAGCCTAGCTGCTGTTAGAGAAAAAGCTCAATTAAAAGCTTCTATGCTTGCATAATTCCTTGGACTTACATGGTATTTAGTGATGGGAGTCTTACTCCCTGTTATGTCTGTCTGTGTAAGATGCAGAAGACTAACCAGCTGCTAGCATTTTGGAGCTTGTATGAATCCCATACCTTTAAACCAATTCTGTTTTCTGCCATAGTAGAAAGTATAACCTAAATAAAGATCTGATAGGTTTAACCACTAATATTAAAACTTTATTTTTTTAATAGGCTTATGATAACTTAAGTTTAAGTGATCACTTACTGAGAGCGGTACTAAATCTTCTAAGAAGGGAAGTATCTGAACATGGGCGCCATTTGCAGCAGTATTTCAATCTGTTTGTGATGTATGCCAATCTAGGTAAGCAAATGACACACACTTTTACTGATGACACTGTAATAAACTTTTTTATTAATGAACCAGTTACACAGGTAACAGCAGGAGAATCCAGTTTTTTCAGCCTCAGGCAGATTGTTAACATTAAATGCCATATAAATGCTCTCTAGAGCATCTGTGCTCCTCCAGTTTGGAGTTAGGGGCTTTAGTCTTCCTGCCATCCTTGGAAGATTAACACAAGAAGCTTGGAGCAATAAGACTGTGACATTCTGAGAGGGTGTGGGGGTGAAAAAATGGCAAGAGAGATGATGCTTTCTTCAGGGCTCCTTTGCAGGGAGGTCATGAGACCCAAGAAGCGTGTGGGGCTCTCAACTGCTTTGAGCCTGAAGAAGTTGAGGAAGATAGAAGTTCAAAAAAGAGATGCATGATTCTCCTTTATGGAAACATCAATGCAGATGATCATGCTTAGTCTGTATATTCCAATTGTGCCCTTTCAGTATTAATTTCTTTAGTTCACCTTTGATGTTCACAGCTATGAATGCAAAACACTGACTCTGTATCTGTCTTCCCTTTGAAGAGTCTTTGGGAGGCTGAGGAAGTAGCTCAGTCTGTATATGTTCTTAGACATCATTGCTTGCCAGAGTGCTTTCACCATAGACATCATATGAGTTAAAAGAATGCAAGAATTGGGAAATTCCACTATAAATTTATCAGGTATTGTAGTTCCTCCAGGATAAACAGGCAAGAAAAGCCAGTGCTTTTGCAATATAGGAAGGCTTTAGTAAAGTTCTTGCAGGCTTGAGACAGTGATTCTTTTCATAAAGACTAGAGTCCTAAAGTTTCTGATGAAAGATAGGTTACAGATTGAGTATGATCACAACTGACTTCTTTTTTAGCACCTTTGAATGCAAGACTAGTAGGACTACTTGTATTTGCAGGTGCTATACTTAAGACCCATTATACACATGCTATAATATAACTGAGATGAGATGGTTGTCAGTTTTGTGGTGATCCATGTGAAATATTGGCTGTGGCACTTCCGGCATCACCCATGTTTCTTCAGGATCTTTAACTGTATCCAGCATTATGAAAATAGAAATAAGTATAGATTTAGAAGTATACAAAAACTTGTATTAAATTCTGGATTATGGAGGCTCTTGGCATAGAAAGTCACTAGCCTGTATACTAAGAATAGAATAAAATAATACTAATAGTATCTGAAGTAACTATTCCAAACAAAAATAATTTTTGCAGTTAAACTGAGATCAGTCCTATTCACAGTCAAATGAACAGCTGTAATCGTGCTTTCTCTTAGCATTATCAGCATGCTGAAAATCAATTGATGATTGATTGAATAAACTGTTTCTCAGGTGGGTTAATCTGTTGCTGCTTTATATAATTGTTCTTCCTCAGGACAAATAAGAGTAATAAAATGCAAGTCAAATGAGTAAAGGATTGCTTTTGCACTCTCAGGTTGATGAGGGTAGTCACAGGTTCATACCTAGTAGCTTTAACATTCTTACTTTCCCCAGTTATTAGGGTCTTCTGTCGGGGGCCCGTTTCTCTTTCATGTGTGACAGCCAAAGTGACAAAACATCTTCCTCTACGGCACGTTCTAAACAAGATGCAATATTCTTCCGTAGTGTTAGAATGCTCTCTCCCTCTTACTCTAATGCAAGATAGTTTCATCCTTTTATGTAAAGTAGTATTAAGCTACGAGATCCAGTTCCCTTGGAAATTTTAGAAAATGCCCGTAATACTGAGCAGCTCAGCCATTGCTGTTTATCGGCTCATGCAGGCAAGTTATAAAATTGAGTTTCTGTTAGATTACTTTGTGGCTAAAGTGTTAAGTAAATGTGTCAGTCCAAATGGAGTTATTTCAGCATTTCCACATAGAATTGAAACACACACACGGAGTTCTGGAAGCTCTTTAAAATTGTCTACCCACATGAAAGGAATTTAATTTCCTATCTGTAAAATTAATCTAGGCAATTGTGTTAATTTAATTTCACTTATAATGTATGTTGCTTTCATATACTTTGTCTACCAAAGCGTTCTCTGACAGGCAAGGTTCCATCATGACCCCCAGAGTGGTCTTAATGTCATTACAGAAGAGAGAGATGCAATTCTTCTGCTCTAACTTACCTTTTCTTCTTTACTAGCTTTTCATAGTCAGTCAGTGCAGTTGAAGCGTCTGACTAGGAAGGCACTCAGAAGCCAGACGGGAAAGCATAACTAAATTTTATTTCTGGGTCCGATCATTATCACAATGTACCCTGCAAAATAAACATGGAAATATGAAGCAGTTGTGCTTGTCTTACTACTGTTAACCGAAGGCTTCTGTATGGATGTAGAGTGTTCATTCAGCAAAAGCCACAATACATCATTGCTGCAACACCCCAAGTTCTGGGAAAAAGATTAAATTGACATTTTGAGAAATCAAATAATATATTGTTCATGTCAAAGCGAGCAAGATCAGTTCTACACAGGATGTAACTACAAAACTAACATAATCAAAAAGATACTATAAAAGACCTCTAATAAGGTGCTATCTGGATTCCTTCTTATCAGAAAGATGGTAGGTAAGGTCCAGTTGTATTTCAGAATAAGAAAAAACTTGGAAATGTATGAAAATCATGACTCTTAACCAAACTGAGAAACAGAATACAAGATCAGAAAGGACATATCGAATTTACTGGTAAGTCCTTGTGTAGTATGTGCAAAGTATTCTTGCAGTGAAACTAGGTGTACGTTTGGAGTTTTTGGTTGGTTTTGGAGGTTTTCTCAGGTTTTGTGTTTTCTTAAATTGATTTTGTCACTTATTTACACTTAGTGCATAGTATGACACAGTTGGCAATGTCTCAAATTTGTAATTGATGTGTCTAGGACATGACAGAAAAATAACAAAATACACTGTGGAGGTTGTTCATCCTATCCTGGGCCTCACAATAAAAAGATTAATTCTTTGTCCAAAAGACTTCTCTGAGGCTTTGCTATTAACACAGATGCTAGTTACTTAAGTGCTACTGAGCACTGTTAAGAAATTGTAGTCATTTACAGCTCTCCTTCAATGTGATTTTTCAGCTGAACATAATTTTCTTGTGCATCTTTACTGATTTGATTATTTTTTTTCCCAGGAAGCATAAATGATGGTTATAATAAAACCCAGCAACTGAAAAGCTACAAAGCATAGAACAGTAGTTATTTTTCCTTAAAAAAAAAAAAAAAAATTGTTAGGGCCAGAAACAAGGTGTGTCTTTTTTTTCCTCCCCCCCAAGGTGTAGCAGAGAAGACACAACTTCTGAAACTAAATGTTCCTGCAACCTTCATGCTTGTGGCTCTGGATGAAGGTCCAGGTCCTCCAATTAAATACCAGTATGCTGAACTGGGGAAGCTATACACTGTTGTGTCACAGCTGATCCGTTGTTGCAATGTGTCATCGCGGATGCAGTCTTCTATCAATGGTATAGTGAATTTTAAGTTTTCCTTAGATTAATTGAATATATCAGTAAATGTCTTTTGTGCATATGTAGCTATTATGTGTAAACTGGATTAGCTGGGAAAATGTTTGCCTTTTATGTTTAGCAATTCCTTTTGTTTAAAGACAGAAATCTCTTTGTTGTAAGCAAAACTGATTTGCTATAGCAACATACTAAAAAGTACAAGATGGAAATCTGTTCTGTATTTTATGCTTCTTGGTTTATTCCGTAAAGATACAGGAAAACTACTGAGTAGTAAAGTAGTAGTTTGTTGATTTCAAAATAGTAATGATTTTAGAATAGTTCAAGCTCATTGTAAAGAGTTGCATAAAGATCTTTTGATTCTGAGCAGGCAATAAAATAACATTACTTTCATGTTACCAGTATGAAAGTAATCTGTACAGGAAAAACACTAAAGAAGGCTCTGAAATAGCTAATACTGCTTATCAATAAAGAGATCTTGCATTGTTGTGGATAGCTCTTGAAAATGATTTGGTGCTTTTTCACAGTCAAGACTGTGAATAGAAGCCAGCACTTTAGTTTATAAAAGATAATCAGCTAGAAATTGGTCAACCGCAGTATAAATCATTAATATCTCTAGTAGTTGAATAGAGTGCAGTTATTTTTGAGAAATGGTGACAGAATATTAGGCTACATGGACTTTATAGCCTGTATATGTTCATGTTCTATTAAGCATATTTTAGAAAACCTAATTAGGAATCTGTAGAGAAGCTATTTAATGGTAAACTCATTACAGCTTGATGTGTCAGGCTATAAAGTCAATAGTCTGGAATGTGTTACAGTAAGATTAATGAACTGAAAATTTTACTGTACTGTAATGAGCTTCAGAACTATTTGGCAATTTTGATTTGGTTTTGTTTCCAGTGCATTATTTGAGGCTTACACTGAAAAGATATTCTACCTATGAAAAATAATTGTATGTGCACTGCACTCATAATGTACTAAAAAAACTACTTTGAACATTACTCTGACTACTAATTATGATTACTATTTGCAGAGTAAAAGGTTTTTTTGCTTCAGCATATTAGGCTAGAAAAGTTCTCCCTTGGACTTCTGGGCATCTTCAATAACTAAAAACACTGCTAAATTTAGAAACACCAGGAGCAAATCAACAGTATTTCCTTACACAAAATGAAGCTTACTAAATAAGATACATTGATTTTTATTCTTTCAAGAGTGTATTACTTCTTTCTACACTCTAGAGATTCAGATGGGACTGTTCTGACAGATATTCCTCTGAACCCTTTTCCATTGCCTCTCAAAGTAAATAGACCTTGTGTCCTAAAATATGATAGATTTGGGCTGTGTCACACAAGCAGTGAAGCAGATAAGTTCAGGAGATAAGAGGATTTCACTGAGGAAACTCTCAGTAATTTCTCTTCTTGCATATGAACATGTCTCCAGCTGTTCTGCTTTGATTTGCACTGCATAATCTTATCTGAGAGGGAGAGATAGCTCTCTCAGGCAGCAAGTGTCAAGCTTCACAATCAGAAAACTTAGTTACTTCATACCATAGTATTTTTCAAAGAAAATCAGCTGTTAGGGAGGGGTTGGGTTTTTTCTCCATCTATCTTTTTTTTTTTAATGAGTTACACCAATTTATATTTTGTTGTGTCTACACTGAAGGTAATTCAATACCTTTTCATCTGTAATAACTGTTTGTTCTAGGTAATCCCCCACTTGCCAACCCATATGGTGATCCTAATTTATCTCAACCTATAATGGCACTTCAGCAGAACGTAGCAGACATTTTGTTTGTGAGAACTAGTTATGTGAAGAAAATTATCGAAGATTGCAGCAACTCGGAAGAGACCATCAAGTTGCTTCGTTTCTGCTGTTGGGAGAATCCTCAGTTCTCTTCTACTGTCCTCAGTGAACTTCTTTGGCAGGTAAAAATAAAAAGCTAGGAGAAAGATGGGAATATAAAATGTGTACGGTGCAAGATTCTATATTTATATGTAGGAATTTTGTATTAATTACTGAACAGGTGCTTGATAAATAAACTTTCCTTAAGGTGGCATCCTCTGTCAGTATTTACACTTTTAGGTCTATACATGATGTTGGAGTACAATGAGAAGTCCTTTTATGAGTTTAGGAAAGCAGTCAACCTGTTACAAGTTAGGAATGCTATGTTAAGGATGGAAAATAAGTAATCTGAGGTGGTCTTTACATATTAGAAGAGCATTTCCTTCAGCTTTTCTGTCATTATCCATAAAAGAGCTTCTTACATTGCATGGAAAGTTAGAATCATTTCCTAAGATCTCCCATGTATTTATTTTGAGTATGTTTGTAAGGTTCTTTTTTACAAGTCTGCAGAACATACTTGGCTTCAGACTCAGGAAAGAATCTTTGGGACTGTCTTGTTTTTCCTTTGTAACCTCTGTAAGGTTAGTCACATATTTCCACTCCAAATAAAATTTTGTACTTCTGTTAGCTCATCTTTATATTCACACTTCTTTTTTTTCCCATGTAAACAAATTTTTCTATGTCCTTTTGTTTGGCAATTGAAAGAATTATCTGATATTTTGCTAGCCATGTATTTTACATTTTAGGATAACCTTTGAAGATAACCTTTGAAAGTACTGTCTAGAAGTAGCAATATCAGTGAAAAATACCGGTTTGTAATTTTGCTTTTCTAAAGGTATTTTTTAAGGTAGCTTCTTCAGCATTTCATGCCTGTGGCTTCAGATCAATTGTGTTAGAAACTCCTGAGGAAACGTTTTATCCTTTGCAAAACCTACTATATTTTTAAAATAAAAATAAACCAACAAAACTACAAAAACTAAAAAACCCTGACACAACATTTAAAAAAAAAAAATACTATGCATTGTATCTTGAAATACCCTTTAAATTACGGTAAACTTCAACTGAATTGTGTTCACGTATTGCACCATGTAATCTGCATGCTTCAAGGAATGCTTTCTTACGTTCTCTGCATTTTTACTTTTTAAGGTTGCATATTCATATACATACGAGCTTCGACCTTATTTGGATCTGCTTCTGCAAATCCTATTAATTGAGGACTCTTGGCAAACTCACAGGTTGGTATTTACCTGTCATCTTATAATTCAAGATTATTATGTTTTGTACAGCTTGTTTTCCCAGTGGTTCTGTTGCTAATCCTTTCAAGAGGTTTGTTTTAAATATATATTAAATCAACATACAGGAATAAAGCATTTTTTTCCACTTTTATCTCAATTTTTGAGACAAATCTACAATTTTTCACCTTGACCTTCCTTACTGTTGAGAAATTTGCTACTTAGCCCTATAAGCCCAAGATTTTTCACATACAAGAGAATGTGCCATTTAGGTGAAACTCATTGGTATTTACTGCGAGGTGCTTAGATTGATTTGTAGAAACTTCTCATTCAAGAGGGTCCAGTGATAGCCTGGTCTTACTAAGAAGTATGTCAGTCATAGTAGTGATACCAAGACATGGGTAAAGTGCAAACCTGGGACAAAAGCGTATTTCATACATAAATATTCTTTATGTGATCACATTTCAATAGAATTTTAACTTCAATATATTAAATATTTATCCAGTTTCAAACCTAATTTTCATATGTCTATAGAATAAGGTTTTTGAAAGTTGAGATTAAAAAATGTAGGTATTGCAAATACTCTTCGAGAGAATAGTTAATTCGTCAGAAGTTTTATATAGTAATAGGTGAAGTAACACAAAATAAATGTAATCAACGTGCTACCTGTCAATATTTCAAAATGTCACTGTTTCATAATAAGTGAATATAGGTAGTATTGGATTTACTAAATCATATGCAACCATGTCTCATATGACATGTAAAATACTTCAAGAGCACACTTGCCGTGTGCCATAAGGGTATTGGAGTGAACTCATGTACTTAACCTGTAGAAGTAGACTGCACTCTTAGGATTTTATCAGTTGCCTAGCCTTACTTTGGAATATACTTTAAGAGAAGATGGTGGTCTGTCTTACCACACTCCAAAACATGAAGACTGAGTTGGAGGGATTTCTTCATTTTCTTTATAGGAATTACAGATTTAAGTAAGGGACAAGAATACCCTTTATACATAGGCTTTTCAGTTTTGCATATATATGTATAAGTAATGCATATATAATGTGGTTTGTTTATATTTTCTTCCCGATAAACAAATACTTCCGTGAGAAGTCCACAGAATGCTGGAGGATGGGCATACTTTAGTAGACGTTAAGTAAAAGAATCTATTTTAGGGTGGAAATGCAGGTGAGAAATCATGGAAGTGGTTGCTGAGCATAGTGCTACATTTGAAATAATGGGGTGTGAAGGAGCTTGACTGTTGTAGTATGGCTTTCACTATACTTGGCGATGTACATAACTTTGTATTCAAGACTGCAGTCTCCAGAATAGCAGCGTTCATTGGAGTTGTGTTGGGCTTCAGCAGACGGGTATATTAAGTGGCCAGCTGCAGTCACCCTCTGATTTCTTGGTGCTACTCCTGGCAGTAGCTTGAAGTACTGGTCTCTGTCCTGCTCTTGGTTTTGCTGTGATAATCGTAGAGTTTTAACAATCTTTGTCTTCTGTTTCTAAAAAGAAAAAAACCCCAAACTGTCCATAGTAAATGGTAATATCTTCTAACTCTTGGAAAACTAACATCATCGGATCTTAGGCAGCATGCATCCTTCAGTGCTCCTTGTATTCTTATACTGTGAGATGGCTGCTGCTGTTCTTTGGCATCGGACCCGCTCTCATAAATTTCTCTTGATTTGGCAAGTTCAAGTGCCAACTTTGGGATAATAGTGTTACAAGTACCATTAAGTTATCACTTTACAGATGGAGTCTAGGTTACCGGCTGCCTGGAGTGTATTCGCTGACTGTTGCCAGGGCTATGAGGAAAAAGGGCAGTTGCTTTTCCTACAGTGAGTGTAGCTCTTCAAGACGTCAGTGCAGGTTCCATGCCCTCCTCTGACTGTTTTTCAAAGCCAAAAGTATGTCAGTTCTCAGTTCTTGCACAGTTTCAGGGTGGCAATTAATTCCTCTACCCCTTGTTTGAGAGCAGAAGGCACAGAAAGTGGGCTTAGTTCCAGGGAATGCCCATGTCCCTTCTCCCCATGCACAAATATGTACCATTCATTCCTCTTTGGAGGAGCTGCATCTAAAAGAGTGTATCTTTGAGAAGCATAACTATAATGTAAGTAACCATTCTGTTGAGGATTTAACTGTTCCAGTTCTGTAAGGACTATTGGGTTAACAGGTGTATTTTGTAAAAGCAGTTGATTTTAAAAATAAGTAATGAAAATTAACCAGTTAAAAGTTGATTGCTGTGAATAGAATTAATCATACTTACATGTTTTATATATCTCATTCAGAGAGTTTAAATATTACCAAATGTGCTGAAATTATAAGTTACGTATGTCATGTGTCAAATTAGTTTTCTGATTTTAAAAAAAAAAAAAATCTTTACTAAAACCAGCAATCAGAATACGAGCTATCCCTTTTGTAATTACATTGTAAGTGAAGCTTTAATTCAAATACTAAAACTCTAACACTTGAAGTTTTGGGGTTTTGTGGTTTGGGGTTTTGTCGGTTTGGTTGTTTGATTTGGGGTTTTTGTTGTTGTTGTTTTTTTTCCTGTAGGATTCACAATGCACTTAAGGGAATCCCGGATGACAGGGATGGACTATTTGACACCATTCAGCGCTCTAAGAATCATTATCAGAAAAGAGCTTACCAGTGTATAAAGTGCATGGTAGCTCTCTTCAGCAACTGTCCTGTAGCCTACCAGATCCTTCAGGTGATACCTTTCATTCTGTTTCTTGCTGCTTTTTTTTTTTCCAGTGTGTAGGGGGGAAAAAAAAAAAACCACACCACCATTATTCAGTTGTCATCTCCTTGAGGAAATTAAAACTTCAAAGTACAACTCATTTTGAACCTTCATCAGAAGGTCAATATATGGGATTGAGAGCAATTTGGTTAAACTTTCTGTGACACAGCTGCAAATCTGCAGACTTAATTTTAAATTTGAAGTTTTCTCTGAGCAAAAAAGGGTATTTCAGGGAGTCTTATAAACAGCAGCATATGTGTTGGTAGTCTGTTCTCTGATAGCTGATGTATAGGAAGGGAAAAATACTTCTATTTTGAAGAATAGAGAAAATAATTCTGAATTGTTAATTTTCCATCTGCAGAGCAATGGAGATTTGAAGAGAAAATGGACTTGGGCAGTAGAATGGCTTGGAGACGAGCTTGAGCGTAGACCATACACTGGCAATCCCCAGTACACCTACAATAATTGGTCTCCACCAATACAGAGCAATGAAACATCAAATGGCTACTTCCTAGAGAGATCGCATAGTGCTAGAATGACTCTTGCAAAAGCTTGTGAACTCTGCCCAGAGGAGGTAAAGAATTAATTTGACTTCCGGTAAAAAAATCTGAGTAAAGTGCTTCTATAAATAGTTAACCTTATCAACAGTCTCCAGTCATTACAGAGGTAACACATTTTGTAAGTATTTTATAAATACGGATTCCTGGTTTTGTTGGCTTCGGTTACATACTCCTGTGCATTTTTCCACTTTTAGTACTGTTTCTATAGATATCTGTCACTTAAAGAATTATCAGGCTAGAACTGAAATTGACCATTTAAAGTAGATAATGAATGGGTCCGTTTTTCCAATAATACATTGATAGTGGGAATTTTTATGTAGTATAATACAAGCTATGGGTGACACAGTGGGGTGGAATTTTTTCTCCAAGCATGTCTGAAACAGTGACTTGCATGTAGGATTGGTTCTCGATAGAGTAATCGTAATATGTTTTACCTGAGCAAATGAAATGTTTTTTCAAACTTTAGGAACCAGATGATCCTGATGCCCCAGATGAACATGAGTCTTCTCCACCTGAAGATGCCCCACTGTATCCCCATTCACCTGGTTCCCAGTATCAACAGGTAAAAGCTCAGAGTTGAACCATTTATTCAGAGTTCCAGGTTAGCTTTTTTTTTTTTTTTTTTTTTTTTTTGGCATTTAAGGTAACTTAAATTATAGGCATTTTGCCAGGAACAGTTTCACCATCCGAGTTTCAGGTGAGAATTTTAATGTTACCAGATCAGGGACTAATCATCCATAGAAAGGAGGGGGACAGATGTCATCACAGTCTAGTGCATACTGAATTTGATTCTGTCACATTTGTTGACATGGATGATAATTTGTGAGTTGCTGTCTTGTTTTTAAATACAAAATCAAGCCTCAAGGCCTGAATTTCAGTTTGGGTAATTGGAAGGCTTGCAGAAAAATGCAGATGGCTTTGTTACGCATAATTTGTGCTATGAGCACTGATCTCTAAACCTCAAGTACATAAAATCTAAATCTGTTTTTATGTTAAATGGCTGCATTGTTAGTATCTTTCAGTGGAAAGCGAGATCTGAAAGAAATCATAACCATGTTTTTTTTACTGAATTGACTAAATTAGTAGATCCCTCAGTTACCATTTTTTGTTCCAATTCATTTTATATATTCCAAATCTGCTAATTTAATTTCCTTTCCTGCCCAAACCCATTTTCCCTCCATCTTGCTTTCCTTACTTGATGTTCTCAGCAGAGCAGTTGGTAAGTCATGCAGATTTTCCCACTCCTTTCTGAGCTCCTGAGTTCAGACACATACTGTAACCTCACCATTACCTGTGTGATGTGTTCACTTTCTTGCAAGAGATGGCATTTCTCACTAACACACACAATCCTCATACTCCTAGTTTCTCCACAGTTGGTTAAACTCTGCAAAACAGTAGACAGTTGAGATGTTTTCATTTGCCAGATGTGTGTATGACTTTTTAAATTGGGACAGAGCATCTGGAGGAAACTACTGGTCTAGATTTCATTCAGTTCTGTAACATTTAAGTTTTCCCTCTTAAAGTATGCTGCATAAATACAGGTATGCTTTTTCCATTGTCTTCAGAAAAAAATTGAAGCTGGTTGAATCTGTTGATAAATATGTGCACAGTTTAATGTCTGCAGCACATAGGCAGCCTCTTTTCGTCTCCCTTTTTTCTTTCTTGCTGCTTTTGCTTTGCATGTAAATGTTTGTTACTGACAAGGTGAGATTACTATTTTAACTAATCCTTTTATCTTTACAAGTTGAAAGTTTGTTTACCTTCTGTGTAAATTAAAAAGGTGAGTGAAAGATGATTCAGAGGAATGAAGAAACTGTGATGTGTGTTCATATAGGTATTACTACGCAAGAAGTTCAGTCTGCTTGAGGATACTTTTCAGTAGTCTGAATGTAAAAGGGTAAAGCAAGTAACAGGTTAGGAAACGGTCCACAAGTTTAATGTCCCTTTAAAATGTTTATGCTTTATTACAGAATAACCATGTGCATGGACAGCCATATACGGGCCCGGCAGCACATCATATGAACAACCCTCAGCGAACTGGCCAACGAGCACAAGAAAATTATGAAGGCAGTGAAGAAGTTTCCCCGCCTCAGACAAAAGATTAGTGAAATGCACATAATTGATTAACTTGCTCCATCAAGACTGTGCACCCAGGCCTTACAGTCCAACCTTTCTCTGTATCTGGCTAATATTTAAAACTAGAAAAACTATTCCTAATCAACATGGAGTGGAGAGTCTATTCACTGTCTTATCTGCAGAAAATTGCTGTCAATATATAACCCGCCTGCAGTGGAAAGTGTATAGTGTTTTGTAATAAATGGCCTGATGCTAATGTGTAAATGGCAAAGGTGTATATAGTATATTAATGTTTGACTGTTAATTCTTGAGCAAGAAACATTTTTTTTTGTCTTGATGAGACTCACAGATCTACAAAAACAAAAAAATAATTTCTTGATATATCTGCTGCGCTCTGCAACCAGTGTTGCCTGCCTCATGGCAGTCGGATCAATTCCTTTACGAAAAAGCCTATCCATGTCAACCACAAAAATAGTTTCATGTTAATTCTTTGCCACTGGAGTCGATTTTACTATGAGCAACGTAATGGCTGGTAACCTTTTAATTATTTGGTTGATGTGGAAAATTGGTGATGTAACATTGTTTCTAGATCTTTTTTCATTGCCTTTTTCATTCTGGTATTAGGTTAATCACTTTGAAGCTATAGTTATGCTGTAACATTTAGCATGGCTTCACACCAAGTTAGTGTAGCCAATGAGGGGGGAAAAAAAAAACCGTGACAGCAGTTGTCCTGATGTGACAACTGGATTGCTCAGAACTTTTTCTTCTTACACCTAGACTATAAAATGGGGAGGGAAAATGTGACAAACAAGTGGTTTTCAGTTTCACATATGTTCCTCACAATCTGATGTTTGACAGTTCTGTCTCTGGGTGGGATAAAGAACACTTAGTTTTCAGTAATAGGAATTTAAAAGATTTAAAACAAATATGCAAAAATTTGCTATGCCAGGATGCCTGGAGCATAATAGACTGTATTTGGTGTGCTTGTTTTGTTTCTTTGGTAGAGCTTATTAGATAAACTTCTAACACTTTCCTTCTACTGCATCCCAGTGAAGTGGAAGTCAACAAAATCACACAGTACTTGTGAGTGCCACTGCACCAAGTTAACTTGCTGGTTTTCTGCTCGTTCACAGTTCTACTTGAAAGAGAGAATTATCTTAGCTCTTTATCCATTATACAGGAAATCTTAACAGTAGAAGCAGGGTTTAAGTATAAAAGAAACTACTGGTTAGTCAAATACAATTCTGAGGTATCTCTATTCCAGAATAAACATTTGTTTAAAGACTTCAAGAAACGCATCAGTAAATACTGTATTTAAATGAAAATTGGTAATTTGAATGTGTGTAATTTTTTTGGAACCTGTCTAAAACCAAATACCCCTGCAAAACAGATACAGCCCACCCTATACTATTTAAATATTTTGCTGTTTTATTTTATAGAAATTATTTTGCTGAATTCACAAATAGAATTTGATTTAAGAAGAATGTTTTGTCCTGTGGTGTGTGTTGTTTTTGGGTTTTTTTTTTAATTGGACTGCACAGAAAGGTGAATTCTGTGCAGTGGCACTATGCTGAATTCTGGAACAACAGTCACATTGAGATTCTGTGCACAAAAAAATTGGCCCTTAAGAATAAAATAATCAGGACAATTACACTGTAAAAGTTTCTTAATGTGATTTATCTTGTACTTTTTGTATGTTTTTATATATACATATATATATTTAATGAGCACAAGCTTGATGGTGTTTTTTACAAATGAGTTGATAGAAACAAAGCTGCTTATCAAATTAAAGGTCTGTAGTTTTGAAATGAACAAAGGAAAATTCAGTCGCAAGTGCATTCTTATGCATTTTAGTATAATAAGGAAGGGACACAGAAGATCTTTTGAATATGCTGTGTAGTGATGATCACTTTTGTGCTTCCATGTTTTCCCCAGTGCTCAAGTTAATTCAGATTTTTTCATAGTTTTTCAATAATACCATTTTCCCTGGACTTAGTCAATTTGGATAAAGTGTTCCCGTTTATGTTTGGGAATGCTTGTTGGAGTTTTTAACTCAAAAATTCTACCCTGGGTACTCAAGTTGAAATAGTTCATATTGATTTGGACCAGTAATTGTTAAACAAGCTATCTCAGAGGTAATTATTATGTATTTTTTACTATATAGGTGAAATATAGTTCAGTCTTGCCAAATGTGTTTGCTTTTAATAGTGCAATGATTGTAGAGACATGTCAAACCGGAGACACTTTAAGGCTGTGACTCTCTTCAGCCATACACACCCCTGTCCCTGAATTGAAAGTGACTGCAGTGCCACTTGTTTTTCAGGCAGCAAATTGAGAACATTGTGCATCTTTGTGACTTTGAAGAAGGATAGCCTGTATTGTTTGTTGCACCTGCTGCTTTTAAATGGATAGCTACAGTAAAAGGTGCAACGTTTTCTTCACTCTGGGCAAAACAATTCTGAATTGTACTTAGCAAATATTGTACATGCAAAAAGTTTCATATGCATGTTATGGTCACGGCATTTTGGCAGTGGTCATTTTCAGGCGATACACAGTACCTCGTTGTTGATGGCACACTTTAAAATACTAGTCCTCAAAGTGCCTAAAAATTTGATTCGCCCATCGCTAATTTCAGTCCTCTTTTCTGTTTGGAACAGTTACTAGGGAATCTCTGGTCTTCCATAAAATGAGCCAATAAATAGTAAAGCAATTAATCATGTTCCTGACAATGTAACAGCTACCTAGAAACTGAAAATTCATAGGTGATGTTATATGGTGGTTAACATGTAGTTTGACCTAGGGGGAAATCCATAACCTTACTACGCAGAATTTCTCCCTCTTGTACATTTGGATTATGGTCGTTTAGTGGCTAAAATAAGCTTTTAACACTTGCTACTGTTAGTGTTAAAAAATCCGTACAGCCACATATAAAAAGAATTCAGTTACTATTCGTGTATCAGTAAATGTACTAAGTTTCAGTCACAAAGTTAGCCACCTACACCTGTGTTATCCCATTGACGGTGATGAGATTACACAGAGTTCAGTCAAAGCTTATTTGCCATGCAGAATCTGTTTTTGTAGTGATGCACAAGCAGAAAAGGAGTCTGCTTGGCTTGGGGTTTTTTCAGATTATTTTCCCTCCTGTCCACCAGCTCTGAAAATTTAAGTTCTCTATTTTTAAAGCTAGGGTATCTTGCTGAAATTGAGCCAGAAAGAGATGAAATGCCACAATGACATTTCTCCCCCCCTCGCCCCTTCCCAAGTGAAACTTTACTTTATATGACATGAGAAGATTGTGTTATGGTAATTGCTATTACGCCTTCACAGCCACTTTGTTGTGCCTAGCTGGTGTGTTTAGCATATGTATCATGAAAAAGCACTTACAGTTCCAAAACTTTCTATATATTTCCTAAGTTCCAGGAGAGAATGAGATTAGCCATTCTGCCAAAGCTAAAATGGGCAAAAATGGGCTGCTTGTAGCAATTTACTTCATCTTTGGTTCAATAAATTTTGTCTACCTCCGAGTCTTTTGCCAGGAATGAATAGGCGGATAAACTATGTCAAGGCAAAGTGGCTCAACGTTTTTGTTGGTATGTGTTTCAGTTACTGGGCATTGCAGCGAGGCTTTCAATGCAATGAATTTAACTTCAGATGAAACTTTAACTATATAAATTAGAGGAAAGAGTGGCACAGTAGGAAATTTGCAGAGTAACTAATTAAGTGTTTAAATATCTTAGTTAAACCTTATTAGTCCACCCTTGCAAATCCACTTTGACAGGAAATTCACCCCTGTGGTGAAAGACACACACCTTAATTGCTGGGAGGTTAAGATGCTGATGCTGACCTTGCATTTCTTAAGACAGGTGCGGGAGTTTCCCATTTGTGGCCCTGCTCCAGCACAGTGTAATCAGGACAACAGGAATTTTGGCTCCTCATCTTCTTGCCTCCTGTGCTGTCCGTCACATTCATGATACCACTTTTCTCACAGCCATAAGGTCTTGGGGATAGTCTAAACCTGCCTTCTGTTTAGAGCAAGACGAGGCTTTCTGGGGGAGAAGTAGGAACCATCTTGTACATATTGCATGCTGCACAGTGGTACTACAATAAACAGCAAGGTGAAAGAAACCTGGCTGCATCCTTCTACATGATTTCTGTTCTTCTTGCAAGTGGTCTCATGAGGAAGACGACAGCAAACAGCTCTTTGAAGCTCAGTGCATTTTCTTTCTGGCTTGCAGCTAGAATCAGTCTACACTAGCGCAGTAAGGATCTCTGTGCAGCAGCAGCACGAGCAGCGTGCCCTGTATATGCCCTCCATACTGTTCCAGGGTGTTCATTATACCTTCCTGCTATTGCTCTTTGGGGATTGTCATGTTAATACATTCATTTACGCTGAGATTTGCCCTCCGTTACGGACTAGACAGCTCTACGGCACTAGAAGGGCTTTCACCCGATCCGAGCACTGTCACTTTTTATGCTATGTAACTTCTTAAGGTTTGTACTATAAATGTCCTTTTATTTCTAAGGTATAAAAATTTCCCTTGGACTAACTATTTTAAAGTGTCAAATAGCCATTCTTTTGTCCTTTTTTACAAGAGCAAGTGTTCAGTCTTGCCCCTGCAGCCTCTGTTACAGCAGGCTGTTCACAGAAGCGTGTTGACGTAGATTCCAGCACTTAAATTCAGAGATCCTCATCCTGTGATCTGATTTTTTCCAGTGCAATCTGTGGTGGATCCATGTATTTCATTGGTATTTGTATGAGTCCTGTTGATTTCAGCACCGTAAGAGTTGAAGCTGGTAATGTGTTGCAGGGATCACACCAGATAAGTCGGGGGGGGGGGCATGGGGAGGCACAAAAGGCGGCTATCTTTCTTGCTTTATTTATGCTTATTTGCAGACAATGAAATCAAAACAAGCACAGGAGAACCAGTTTCTGAAGGAGAAAAACTCTCCTGAATAAGGGCTAATGTTTCATCGGATTTTAAATACCCAACTCTTTTTTTTTAGCTTTAGAATTCCTTAAAGCCACTTTTTGATAACAAAACTGACCTACAGGCTGTTTCCGTAGAAGAACTTAATATAGCCTTAATTACATCAGCACAATTCTGAAATGACAGTGTCATTCTTCAATGGTGAAAATAATGAGCAAGTGTATTCTAGTTTTTAACAATGAGCTAACCTTGAATAATGAGGAGAAAAAGGAAAACAGGTTCTATGAATTCATCCAAAATCTAACCATAGAAAAACATCCAGTGCAGGAAAATAAGATCATTCCCTTCTTTTCTGTCTCTGCGCTATTTAAAATGTCTGATAATGTTAATTTTTATTCTTAATTTATGTCCCCTTCAGCCCTTAACAGAGCAAAATCTTTAAATGTTTGGTTTTCCCATATAAGCCAGTTCCCTATTCCGCATTTCCATTTTCGTTGTCGTGATGCGCTGTTTCTGTTTTCATACGATGACCAGGACTGGATGAATGCTTTCCAAGTGTGATTTCACCTGAGCCATTAAGCAAGCAGTTATGTTCCTTTTCTGTAATGATACCTCTGTGGATGCAGCTTTTAAAGGTAGCTGTATGCAGCTTTTAAATATAGCTTTATTTATTGAATGCTGCTCAGTTCTTGTCCACCATTCCTAAATTCCTGTCCATTACTTCTTACAATTCTTTCTTACCAAGTTGCTCACTCTAGATTGCCAGGACCATTTTCTATTTAATATTTTTGTATTTTCTTGGAATCCAATCCCTTCACTTGCCGTGATGGTTTTTACCTCCTTTTCTACCTACACCTGCTGTTTTGCTGTTAGCTGCTACAAAAGAACCGTGTTTGCCAAGCAGCCCGGCTCTCCAAACCGGAGCCCTTTACAGTGCAGTAGCAGCAGCCACAGCCTTGACCAGGTGGGCTTTGTCATCTCTTAAATCTTCTCAGAATCGATGTGGGATACGAAAGCTTCATGCTACTGATGGCAGTCTCGAATTCAAATAGCTCGTAGTTTACTGGGTTTTGTTTGTTGTTCCCCTGCCCCTTCATTTTCTGTCTTGAACAGTTAGTTTCTACAGGTCAATAAAAATGGTAGGTCTCGCTGGAATCTACTTTGGAAAGAAGGCTGATTGAAAACTTGAACACTTCTTAATATACTTGATTGTATTTAAATATCTGGTGGGTGCTTCAGAGTCCTTAGAAAGTCTTCTGGAAGCAAATTCAACAGCTTAGAAACATGAAGACTAGGTCTTCAAGATTTAATGATGCTCACAAAATCTATCTACCTGTCCTGCTGCGAGATTAAGAACAGGTGAAATAGCAGAAATGGAAATATTTCGCTGAAGGGAGAGAGGTCATGCTGTGCGAAATCCCCTCGGGAACGGGAAACGCTGAGCGTGCTTTGCCTGGGCTCACCCCCCTGGTAGCAGCTGAGCGTGAGCCCTGCGGTGGGAACTCGCCTGAACCAGAGGCTTCCCCAAGCACCGCTTGCTAGCAGGACGTTGATGA